TCACCTACAACGCCCCTTCGTCGTTGGTTGTACGCAATGGTTCCGTCGTGGTCGACGCCGTTGTACTGTCGCTTGTCCACGACGGTTGTCAGGAATATCTGCTGCTGTACATAGTTCAGTCCGAAAACGTGTGGCCTACTTCCACGCCCCCGCCTCACGCCCGTAGTGATACGCTTATGGTTGTTTTTCGCGCGTGTGTCCGCATTTTCACCATTTGTTCTTTTTTTGTCCCAACCATCACTGTTCACGTTTGTTTGTTCGCTGGACGTGTTGAACGCAGCTCCGATATGAACGACAGAAGAAGAAGGAAGCCACCAACCCCAAGCGGCAGAAAAAGTCCAAGTCCAGGAAGTCGCCACCCCCAGAGCTGGAGGAGGAGAGCGGTGACGAGGAGGTGGTGTGGACGGAAAGGGGGATGGAGGACTACGAAACGTCCGACCACTTCACGAGGCGCAACAAGATGTCAAAAGGCATCGGGCGTCGAGTTTCGTTGTCGGCAGAGGCTCGCGCCGCGCTGCCATCGTTAGACAACTTCGTCGCACCAGAACCCCACCAGCGGGGAGTGTTCGCTTGACCTCGTCGTGGAGAAGTGCTTGGACCTCACCTTCCCGCAAAAGGCGCGAAATATGTTTTTGGATAAGGTATGTTAATCATGTTGTTGTCTTGTTGCGACACGCACCGCTTTGCTTTCATGTCTCCCGTGGTGCGCGTGTGAGTATTGAAACAGGAATTTCCAGTGCTTGCAATGGTGAAACCAAATATATACGATGAAGGTGCATAAACAACCCGAGACCTACCGTCGAGTTGGGTCTTGGCACTTATCCACGCCCCGGTGCGGCGTTTTCCCGCCTCTTCCACAACGCCATTTCTTTTTCTGTACATCAGTGATCGCAGACTCCGGAAATCATTGATACGCCTTGGTGTCAACAGCTGCTGGTTCCAACATTATTTTTATTTTGTTGGCCTTCCGACACAACATTAGTCTTACCACAGCTGGTCCCTTCGGCCTCCCTGTCGGCGGACGTTCGCCCGTTTTTTTCTTGATGTGTGCCAGGCATGAAGCTACTAGCGGCGTGTGATATCACGGGCTACTGCTTAACCAGCAGCGTAGATGGCGGCATGAAAGGTGACCCCAAGCTTCGCCCTTACATGGACTGCCCGCTCGGCCGGACTACTCCCCACGTGCTTCACGTTCTATTGGGGGAGTGCGGCGTGTTGAGGCAGAAGATCGATGGCTCGGGGGTATGCATCGCCATGGACAACTACTTCACCTCCCCCACTCTGTTCGAGTGCCTCGCCTCCCACGACATCTTCGCTGTAAGTACCTGCCGCGCCGATCGGACTGCCGGCGCTGATGCGTACCTCGAGAGCCTCGGGCGTACCATTCCTAACCGCGGCGACAT